CTATTAATAGTGTCAATTACTCTGATCTAGATTAAATAACAAACAATAAACCACAACCTCCCATCCTTCTTCCCCCCAAACAGAACTGTTATAAGCTGATTCAGGAGCTGAGTCTTCCCTGCTTTCTAAAGCCTGATCCAATTAACAGCATTCACCCAAAGATGCTTTTCCTTTACTGATCCCTAGGATTTCCAGTTCCTACATTAACCTACACACTACAGCAAAAATATGCTTTATACTCTTTAGCCTGAAGAGTTATTTGTTTCAAACTCTCACAGATGTGCAGGTGAGTTTCTTGTTAGTCAAGTATTTTATAATAGTGCCCACCTATAGCTAGATATTAATTTAAAAACTACAAAAAACAAAAGAGGGAAAGCATGTTTATGAGTAAAATAAGACATAGGAAAAAGGTAAGGTGTTGGGTATTAACCCCAATAGGCAGCTAAGTGCTACACCACTCCTAATTCCATTCCCTCCGATACCCCCAGCAGGACAGGGGAAGAAAACAAGGAAGAATAAGAGAAAATACATAGGTCAAGATATAAATGGTTTAACAAACAAAGGCAAAGTGAAAGAAGGATGAAAAAAGAACATAAAGCAAGGGATGCAAAGGCACTCACCTCACACTTCCCACAGACAGACTGATGCCCACCCCGTCCCCGAGCAAAAGATGCTACTTCCACTAAACTCCCTTTCTCTCAATTTTATTGCTGTCAATGACATTACACAGCATAGAGTAGCTGTTTGGTTAGTTTGGGTCATCTGCTTTGCTGTGTCCTCTCCCAGCTTCTTGCTCACTGCCATCCCCTCAGCACAGGGTGGGAATAGTGGTGGTGCATCAGAACGAGAAACAGGGAAGGCCTTGATGCTGTGCAAATGGTGTTCAGCAATACCTAGAACAGTATCGTCATCATCGTTTTGGTCACAAATCTGAAACACAGCACCATACAAACTGCTATAATGAAAATTAACTCTATCCCAGCCAAATCCAGAACATAAGGTAAATGACTCGCATTACCATTTCAAATTCAAGTCCCAAAGCGCCTCTCACTATGTGTAGCTCAGAGTTCATCACATAGTTTAACACAGGTCCAGTGTCTGAGGCCAGGTGCCTATTTTGCACCCCACACTGCAACCACATTAGAGGAAGAGCAGCTGGAAAAGCTGTCATTTACTGTCCCCTGCCTGTTATTTCTGGTTCATCTTGGTCACCACCAGAAAGGGACAAGATTTTGTGCTTGCTGGTTTGGTTTTCCCTCCTTTCCACCCTCCTTTTAAGAGCTGAAAAAAAAAAACCCCTCAAAGTGCCTTAATCAGTGCAGAAAGCAATGTGCAAGTCTCAGCATGAAGCCTGCCATACCCTGAAATGTCCATTATTATGTAAAGACATTTCATACAAGCATCAAAGAGATCAATGCTAACTATTCTATGATTCTATGAAATGCAAGGCCATTGACAGATGTCAAAGACAGCCCTGATGGCAACAAACCATTTGATGATAACGGTTTTGGGGATCACTGCCTCCAAATCATCTCTTTAGAAGTGTGCTATCCTATGGCCTACATGTACAAACTTGTGTTTTTGTTGCACAGTCTAATGCTCCAACAACGACTGAAGTTTTATGAAGTATGATGTTTTACAGGCTGCAAATTTATCATCACCCTATGTTTATTTGCTTTACCTGGGTGCTTTAACTGCTGTTAAAGAATATTTTCTCCTTCCACAAATACCCATCTAATATCTAAAGTCTGTCACCTGATACACACCTACAGCTGTTTTTCCCCCCATGTTCCAAGGTCTCCAGTCTGATATGAAGTATTTTCTTTCTCTGTCTCTTTCACGGACATCCTCTTATCGCGGGGAAAGGGCTTGCGTGCCCTTGTGAGGTTGGGAGCTATGCTAGTAGTGGCATATGCCTCCAGTAGGGTCTCCCATGCTAGACAGGTGTCAACTGAAGGGTCAGACAAAGTGTGTTCATGGGCAGGATGGGCTCACTTGCCTTCATGCAACCATCCCACGAGAAGGACAACTTGGCCTTGTAAGGCCACTCATCTAAGAGAAGGATACTCTAACCAAACCTACAACCTGAGGATTTTGTTGTCACTGCCCAAGCTCAATAGGCCCTGGCAGATAGACCTCAAGAGTAAAGGGTGGGTCCAGTTCTGCGCATGCTGTGCCTCACCTAAAAAATGCACTGTGCAGGCTCTAACACTTGTTAGTAGTAAGCATGGGTAAAACCCTTCCCAAGTCTTCACTTGTGAAGTCAAGCCATCATCATCACCTTTCCCTGTGAACAGCCCTAAACATGGCCTAATTTTAGAGAATAATCTCCCTTTGGACTAGTGTTCAGCATAGTCTTTTGAACAAGTAGCACCTGAGAACAGTCTTCTATGGCTCATATCAGCAGAGAAGAGAAAGTCATTGTGGAAAAGTCTAGATCAGTCTAAAGTGCAGAGGAGCTCCCCTTTATCCAAGTACAGATGGACAGTACAGGCTATCTGTACTATCCTAAAAGACAGTACTTGAAGTCCTAAAGAGGATTTTAACTTCTTTTCAGAGTCAAAATAAGTAACAGCAGTTTCAACTGATCCTAATCCCCCTCCTTGCTTTACAGCCTGGCTTTTGCCAATCAGCCATACATCAGTGGCAGAAATTCACCACTTCACTTAGCAATAGGGAACTGTTGATTGACTGCTGCACAAACTGTGCTGATTTACATGATTTTACCATTGAGATTAAAGGTAATTTATTTTAGGTGGCTGCGACTACATCAGATCCTTGTAGCATGTTCTGAAGTTGGCTTTACTTGTCCTCAAAAGAGATTTAAATTATTCCATTTACATAGTTATGTTAAAAATTGGGCCTCCATTAGTTAAATCTCTCAGTCTGACAAACTGCCAGTGATTCTGGAGAAATAGGTCATTTTGATGACATACTGTTCCTTCAGTCCAGCCCATACAATGGCTTCTTCTAAACCAGAGATTCGTATTTGCTACATTATTGTAATGAAATACAAAAAGGTCATTAAACAAGATCAATTTCTTCAAGGAACATATTTTAAAAAATGCATTAAAACTACTGTCTTTGGCTTTCAATTAAAACTAAGATCTACAAAGACCATGTTTACAAATGTGGCAGATCCAATTGAGAAAGGCACTTGTACACAAGTGAGACGAACCCAAATTCCTGAGTCAGCCTGTATGCTGCCTGCCTTTAATATTTTCCTGCTGTGATCTTTTTGATTTTTCCATTATGCTTAATAGGATTCTTTCAGGAATTAAAGGATTATGGGCTAATTACAGAGATCACCTGAACATTACAGATAGACACAAGACATTTGAGTAACCTCTGGAAGTGCATTAGGCTATGTCACATTTTAGGATATTGTCACCTGAGCTTGTTTGCCAGTTGTATATTCCTAAAGCATTCAAACCTAGAGAGTGGAAAGAACTCTTTCAAAAGATTCAATGAAGCAAGATTGCAAGGACATTTGCTACACTAGTCATAGTTTTTCCCTAAAAAATTATACCCATAAAACAGTCTAGTCTTGTCCAAGTTGGAGACATCAAATGCTATCAATGGGGGCAAGACAGCAGGTCTCTGTAGCTGACACTCTACCTCTCTGAGAATGGCAATGCCAATGAAGACAGAGGACAGCAGCTGTGCCAACCAAAACCCTGCTTCCAGACATCCTGAGCTGTGTCTCTGTGTTGTTACCAAGACCAGACTCAGGAAAAATGTATTGGCTCTTAATGGGTCTCCTGGAGACAGGGGCAAGGAGAGATGAACACCAAGACCAGCAGAACTGCAGCTCCCTGTCTCATCTCAGGAACAGGTAATTGGATGAAGCTGAATTACCAAACCCCTCAAGGAGGAGATAAAAAAGAAGGAAATATGGAATGCATTGAGTATAAATGATAGTGAAAGGCATTACTATTTGGATCAGTCTGTAAGTACACTACCCTTCAGCTTCATGTGTCCAGTACTATTTTCCAGAGTCAGTTAGTCCTGACCTGCTGATGGAACATGACAAGACTTCTCACATGCACTTAACAATAGAAATGCTTGTGGCAACCAAACCACATTCTGACTGGGTATACTGCTACAACAATTATAGTCTAATATTTAATCACAACAGAGATTCTGCATGTTTAATGAAAGTTCATAAAATATTTTACCTTTATATTCATTTGGAATATTTTTCTCCTCAATGATGTAAGCAAGGAAAGTCAGCAAGAGGACCCTGAACTGCTTTTAGCAGCAGTCACAAAGCAGCACTGAAAGCTCCCTTGTTGCTCTATTAAGTACAGGCTGCTGCAGCTACTCAGGTTTTCGAAAGGGCAAAAGAGGGAAGCACAGAGTTAACACCAAGAGGGCTCTGCATGGGGGAGCAAACACTGCAAAAGCTGAACTCCCAGAAGAATACCTGCAGAAAATCTTCTCCCTTCCTGCCTTCACCCACACAAAAGGGAAACCCAGGACAGCAATGTGGCATCACTGGTTAGCCAGACACACTTGCAAGGGCAGGTGTGACAACCTAACTGGCAATTACTCCTGCAGAACACTACACACCTCCAAGCTGCTGTTATTGTCAGACATTATACAGCTACAGCCCTACATAAGTCACACCACCAAGAAGTATAAACCTTCCCAACTACAGTCCAAGTCCCACTGCTCACACTTGCCTCCAACCATCCCAGAGTTAGAGCAGGTAAAGGGGTGGCAGCTTTTAAACCACACTGAGCTGGCTGCGACTAACACCACGCTCCATTGTCTGAAAGGCTAACTCTGCTGTTGCACTCTTACATTGAGATTATATGGCACTATTCAATTTTAAGAGCAACTGCAAGTCTATTCTCTTCTCTCAGTGCTCTCAAACTTTAAACCTGTACATTAAAGTCAAGGTGAAAACATTTTGCTTTTAAAGGAACTAGGGTTTCTACCATATAGCTACAAAGGCTAATACAAAACTTGTACCTCTCACCCTTATGTGCACTTACCATCGGGTGACATGGCTCCCTGCCCAAAGCTCTGCAGTCTGTTCTCCTGCAACATGTTCTAGAAAGCTCAGAGGCTGGCTAGGTATTGAAGTGCATGTCTTGTCCTTGAAGGCTCAGCACCTTGGTACGTGTCCACCTTGCATCTTCCACCTTCAGACTCGCACAGCTTCCTCTGCTTCCATATGAAAACGTGTTTGTGGCACATAGGGACCACGAACAACTACTAGTGGTACACTGACCGCACCAGCAGCCACTGCAGGATGAGTCCTCCGTACAGGCCTAGAGACAGTGCTAACTATGACATATGTCCAAAGCACACCCCAAAAGCCGAGAAAGCACAGCTCAGCTCAAAAAAATCCTGACTCCCCAGGTCTGACTTTAAATAGAAGCCGCAGGGGCAAGGGCAGGGTGTGTGCGTAGCCCTCATGTGAGGCCTGTTAAGGGTAATTAAAGCCTATTAGCGCCCTCAGGGGCCTGTCAGCTGAATTGCTGACGTCCGTTCCTTCTGAAAACGAAAACTCCACCAGAAACACCAGAGCCACTTTAAGCACAGGACCTCTTGCCTTGGGAAAAGTAACAGTGGCAATGCCATTACCAACTTCGCCCTTGCATGCTCGTAAGCGAGTCACCTGTGCAGGACCTGTTTCTGTTCACCCCGCACCTTTCCCAGCTGCTGCAAACCCGCTGTACGTCTCCCTCGGAGGCGGGGCTGTTTGCTCCCTCTTCCCACCCAGCAAGCCTGTGCTGTATCCCCAAGCTCTCTGCCCTTCTCCCGCTGCACCCATTGACCCTTCAGCTCCGATAGACCATTTTTTGCTCCTTGGACACATGTATTTGTCACTTTTCCTCGCCACTTTCCCAGTGAACCTCTGAGAAGCTTTACCTACAAGCACTTTCTGCCTGCATTTCTGGACAGGTCCTCCTGTCTCCCTTGTTGGGCTGTTTTAGTTTACTTCCTGCTTTTTGGTTTCCACAAAAAAAAAACCTTGAATCAGCTTTGTTTTTTTTTTTTTTTTGTATGTGTCATTTAGGACAACTCCACATGTCATAGAATCATAGAATCATAGAATAGTTAGGGTTGGAAAGGACCTTAAGATCATGCAGGTCCACCCCCCCTGCCATGGGCAGGGACACCTCACACTAAACCATGTCACCCAAGGCTCTCTCTAAGCTGGCCTTGAAACACCACCAGGGATGGAGCATTCACAACCTCCCTGGGCAACCCATTCCAGTGCCTCACCACCCTCACAGGAAAGAATTTCCCCCTTATATCCAATCTAAACTTCCCCTGTTTAAGTTTTAACCCGTTACCCCTTGTCCTATCACTACCATCCCTAATGAAGAGTCCCTCCCCAGCATCCCTATAGGTCCCCTTCAGATACTGGAAGGCTGCTCTGAGGTCTCCACGCAGCCTTCTCTTCTCCAGGCTGAACAGCCCCAACTTCCTCAGCCTGTCTTCATACAGGAGGTGCTCCAGTCCCCTGATCACCCTCGTGGCCTCCTCTGGACTTGTTCCAACAGTTCCATGTCCTTTTTATGTTGAGGACACCAGAACTGCACACAATACTCCAAGTGAGGTCTCACAAGAGCAGAGTAGAGGGGCAGGATCACCTCCTTTGACCTGCTGGTCACGCTCCTTTTGATGCAGCCCAGGACACGGTTGGCTTTCTGGGCTGCAAGCGCACACTGCCAGCTCATGTTCATTTTCTCATTGACCAGCACCTAGTTCTGTCCCAGATATTTCCACTTGGATTCAGTGTCCCCAGCCTTTGGCTAAATGCCATGCTTGAAGAAAGAGGATGCTCAGAGGCCCTGTCTCCCTCTGGGGAATGGCATAGCCTGTACTCCATCACCCACTTGGCTGCCTCAGGCACAATGACAGGGTGCCTGCCCCTACTCACAGTTTTACTGTTTACAGTTTTACTGCCAAAGGTTAATGAGCACATTGTTGTTCCAGGTCTAGAAAATACATGACTCCTCCTGCAGTTTCAGCCCTTTCACGCTAAAGCAATTTCACCAGGAATTTCACCAATGGCTATTTGGCAGGTGCTATCCTCTTTCATTTTCATTTGCCTTTTGAACCACAATACTCCAGCATCATTTCAGACCACACTATTCTTCACTATGCTATAAACTTCAAAGTCATCTACAATGTGTCTTAATCAACTTTCAGAGACTTTCTTTGCAGTAGTGATAGTTTCTTAGCCTTTTCCTCAGGTCCGCGCATCAGCCAAAACTTGTCACTGGCATTAAAAATAGGTATCGATAAATTATTTTCTTTAATACTTTGGAATATAGATTGCAATATCCATCTCTGTATTCAAAACCCTTGCATGAATGCTTCTTTCAGCTTGATGCCAGCAGATTGAGCCAGAGGATGATTACCAGCCCAGCAAGGCTCACTGTGAGTGATGGCAGCACTCCCGTAAAGCCGGTTTATTTTGGGAAGCGTTGGGAGAGCAACCTTTTACTGCTAGGTATGACTGAGCATTGGTATCCAAATGTGCCAAATGACTGACTTACTTAACCATCAGACCACCCTTTCTTTCCTAGGAGGTTTTCTTGCATGAACAGGTAACACAGTATGAACAAGACCTTCCTCCTTTCAAATATGAAAGCTATAGTTCCAGTTTTACACTCCAACCCACTGCTGTTAGGCTTGGCTTTTCTTTTTCAGCATTTTGGAGAGCTTCACACTGTACCAGATAGGATGTCAAATTTAATATGATTTCAGTCACTGTTTTAGGGATGTAACAAACAAGTTAGGCACCAAGCTGCTGAGCTCAGCTTAGCCCAGCCAGAAGTCTGGTATACCTGGGCACATACAAAACACATTACTAGGAACCTAAATAACTACTCCCCAAAACGGCTATCTGCTCGTGATGATGTTAGCTCAATGTAAGAGGTTACTGCTTTCTTCAGCTAGAAAGGACTGTCTCCACAGCAGAGAGTAGCTGATGGTTGGCATGGTCTTCTGTTCTGCAGGCTAATGAAGTTCACTTGAAAATTTTCAGGGTTTATTTTACATTGCAATAGAAAAGAAGCTGCTGTTATGTCTCAGCTGTGAGCAGGCAACTTCCATTAAGTGTGTAATAAGTTGTTTATGTGCTCTTATTTGAGAGGTCAGGGAAATGGTCAGACATTTGACGAGTTAAATAAAAGTGGTGTGAATTGTTTGCTTTTGGACTGGGAAACTTAAATTCCACTTCTCTTAAGTGTTAGGCACCAAACCGCTTTTCTGGGGGACCTGATCCTTGTTCCATAGCCTAGATATCAGAATCCCATTGAGGAAAGGAGGCAGGTTTGAAAGAGAAGAATCTTCTGTATTCTCATTGCACTGTGTTATACACAATCAAATGCATTTCTTTGCAGAAGGTGTTAATCCAACTTGCATACTGTTAAAAGTTGCTATTAAGCCTGAACTGAAAAGGACACTGTATGTTTTATTTATCCCTTCTCAAAGGGATTAGTTTTGTTTACAAACTTGCATGCTTTGTATATACTAAAATGTGCATAACATACTTCATTTTGTGGTTCATCTTCACCTTCATCCCTTCTAATATGTTCTGATTGACACACACTTGATGCCAAAGAACTGAGCTGACATTTTTAATATTCTCTTTCTGTGAGGACAAAGAGAGGTGCATGAACTTGGAGGCATCTCTAATGATCACATGTAAGTAGGTGCAGGTAAGCCTATTTTTTAAACAATCAGAAATTGGGCAATCTTGTTAGCCAGCAGTGAGTGGGATGTAACATATTCCAAGCTGGTTTGCTTAGTCTTAGCACCACACTGCCCATAATCATCTTACTTTCAGCTGGACATTGTGAACAGAAGCTGAACTTACATCTGCATTGAAAATATTGCAACAGCATGTAGAAATGTCCCAAAAGTGACTCTACAATAGAAACATTAGAATTGGTTCCAGACAGGAGGATAATATGAACGTTTAAATTTATTGCAGTAGATACAATGGGTAAAGGCAGATCAACATTTGTCACATGCAAGAAATGGGATGCACTGAAAACCATCTGTAAAAGGGAAGGCCATCCATTCCAGAAGACTAGCCCAGTCACAGATAATATTTCTCAACTGAGAGGAGTGCCCAGAAGTGTGTTCACCAGTCACATCTACAGATCTCCAATCTACCTCTGGACTTGCTGCACAGTCAAATTGCTGTTCACTATTTCCACCAGTGAGCTACATGAAGTCCACAGCATGAAATCTGTGAGCAGTGCACGTCCTCTGAGGGACCCTGTATCTGAACCAGGAGGTGGTGAAATGAGTACCCTGTGGCCTCTGCACAAGAGTAAGGCAATGGGAAGGTGGTAGCTCTCCTAGGCAGGAGATGGCTTCCTCCCTACCCAGCTGGTTCTCCCTCCATCAGGAGCCATCAATCAAGCCTTTGTAAACAATGGCTGAGCTAATCACAGGCCAGAGAAAAGTGAGCCCTCAATATCTGGAATCACGGTGCACTGGGGAAACCTCTAGTTCTGCCAAAGCTTTTCTTTTATAAAGACATTCCTAAGTGAACAGTGGGTATCTCCACCTGCTATTCAGACAGACCTCTAATCCTGTCTGTTTTGTCTCTGTGATGGAGATCATGGATTCAGGTGCTTTTTTTCCACTTGGCACAGCTATGGGCCAGGATCAAGTATCACAAAGCCAGCACCATTCATCAACCTGTTATCAGTCGTGCCTCACCTGTAGAGGTGAGGGCACTATCTCAGCCAGAGCTGTCTTGCTGCATTGCCCACAGAAGCAAAGCCATAATTCATACTTGACAGGATGTGTGGGCATGCAACACGTGGGAGCAACATACACACAGAGGAGACACAGGTTAAACAACACAAAGAAAGAACTCAAACATAATTAAAGCTAGTTGTTTGGAGGCCAAACCATGCCCTCCCTAAATGCTTCCATGAACACCATTCCTGGTCATCTGTTCTGTTTCATCTTTTCCCTTCCTCCTGGCAGCAAAATGCTGCCAGTTGCAGAATCAAAGCTTAAGTGATGGTTTCCAAAAGAGGTCCATCTTTCTCCAGGAATGGTGGTTGTGTCTTTCTTTGCTTTTCTGGGGAACCTCTGAAGTTTGCAGCACAGTTGTGCCTGCATGGCTGTAACAGTAGCCACTAGTGTCACTCCCTCCTTTAGAGGAAGCTCCATGA